ATTCTGCATAAATAAACTTTACATTGCTAAACTTTACAATATATAAAGTATAACGACTCTAGAGCCACATCAGCCCGTTTGAGATAATAATGTGTTTAATGCAGTTTTGCGCACGTGTGTTTACATTTTACAGAAACGAAACTTAAGCGCATGGCTCATTTGCATAAACAGAGCACTTCTCACGCAGCTCAGCTCGTTTAGCTTCTTTCGGGCTAAAGGACGCGACTCGGTGGAACATGAGGATGTGCTGCTGGTGGTTTTGTCTGTAAATGGTGGAAAAGGTTCGTGGCGCCAACTTTCAGCGTTCACGGCGACAGTGACGAGTGAATGAGACACGAGCGAACAAAATCAGGGAGGCGAGGGCGCGGGCGACGAGAGAGAAGGTAAACAAGAGAAGTGACGAAATCAGAATTGAATATAAGCATTATATCGATATATACGATATGTCAAAATTCATATCGAGTTTAAAAACTATCTCGATATATTTAAAATATCGATATATCGCCCACCCCTATGCCCAAGCTTTATTTTTTTCACAAAGGTCTTAAATTTCATTCACCTGTTTTTTTTGTTTTGTTTACTCAATAAAAGTAAAAACAACAATGTGAAATCACGTAACATGAATGAACGTCTAATTTGGAGTATGCGCAAACAATACTTTGGTTTCTGGCGCTGGCGGCAATGAGTAAACAATCAGAGTGGAGGAAGACGTTGCATGGATCATGGGGAAGTGTTGGTTTAATCCACAGTGGCCATTAGATTGTAGATTTAGTACCGGTAGTTAGTTGGTCATTATTAGAATTGGATTTGGTGTCTTTAACTCGCGTAATGGGTGCGATGTTGGTCTTAATTTTCATTTAAGTGGTCTTAAATTCGGTGTAGTCAAACCTGGGGATACCCTGACACACTTTAAATATGGTTATTATTAGTCCTATCAACTTGAAATAAAAACCGTATTGATCCTCACACCTTGTTATTTACACTTTCTATACATGTTGTTCTATAGCAGGGGAGTCAAACTCATTTTGGTCCGGGGGCCGTATCCAACCTACTTTGATCCCAAAGTTCCAGATCAGAAAACTCATGTCATATAAACCCCAAAAATAACAATAAGTTCAAATATTTGTGCAGAGTAACGCAAATCTATTACAGACATCTTTTTTAATTGATGAACTCTTTCTTATTATAATATTATAATATTATGAACAACATGAAACTTTAAGAAAAATTCAATTTCAACACAATCTTTTAACATTAACTTGTATGCAAATAGGAATAAAGTCAATTTTTCTTGGAAAATCCTGTGCTCACCGTCCACTTTTCTCATTTTGACATTTTGTTGATGAGGGTGTCACGGTCAACAGTCAAAACGATCGTCCTTTAAGAGCGTTTGGAAAGAGACAAGTCTTCATTTGTGCTGCTCTGGTGGGAGGGGCCACGTACAGAGGCTCTGGAGACGATTGATATGCTCAAGCACCACAGAAAATTACCAATATTTTAATAGAAAATATAATTAAAATATTTTAGTAGAAAATCACCCAAGGGCCACATTAAAGGTCTTGGAGGGCCGGATCTGGCCCCCGGGCCTTATGTTTGACACTTGTGTTCTATGGTTTCAACAAAATGGAAGAAAATCAAATCGAAAATCGAGATTGATCTTTTTTTTTTTTTTTTTACCATGTTGTATTTCTCATAGAACTTGGAGAGGGTAAATGAGAAGGAAACTACTATAACATCAGGAAAAGCTCTGAAAAGTCAATAATAATTTGCGTTATAGGTCTGCTTTAAGTGTAGAGTAAAATCTGATAGAAGAACAGATTCAGAAATAGAGCTGAATAATTTCGGGAAAATATGTAAATGTAATTTTTCTGACGAGCATTGAAATTGTGATTACATTTGCGATTCATGTTTTAATAATATAATTCTGTTCAAAGTTCAGATTTTAAACACGTCCAGAAGAATTGACTATACTAATATTTTATTTATTTATTTCTTTGATAGGGTCAGTGCAAAATAATGAACGTCTACAATTGTAGTGTAAATATGCCAGATTTTAGCAAAAATAAAGATAATTTCCATCTGTTGTCTTTCGGCAGGTAACACAGAAAACTAAAATACAAAACAGTAGTGATTTATTTATTTTATTTATTCAGTGTAATTACAGTTCATGTTTGAAAAAATCTGCTTAATCTGTTATTGTGAGTAGATTTGTTATTTATGTTTTAATAATAGGATTTTGTTTAAAGGAGCATTGTGTAACTTTTCTATAGGAGGGTCTGTCAAATGCTTCTTGTCTCCATGGAGATGTAGCTCATTTATTTGATAGGGACAGTGCATATTAACGAAAATCTGCAATTATAGTGTAAATAAGGACTGAACCAGAACTAAACCAGGACTGAACCAGAACTAAACCAGGACTAAACCAGGACCAAACAAGGCTAAACCAGGTCTAAACCAGGACTAAACCAGGAATAAACCAGGACTAAACCAGGAATAAACCAGGACTAAACCAGGACTAAACAAGGCTAAACCAGGTCTAAACCAGGAATAAACCAGGACTAAACCAGGACTAAACCAGGACTAAACCAGGACTAAACCAGGACCAAACAAGGCTAAACCAGGTCTAAACCAGGACTAAACCAGGTCTAAACCAGGTCTAAACCAGATCTAAACTAGGACTAAACTAGGGCTAAACTAGAGCTAAACCAGGACTAAACCAGGTCTAAACAAGGACTAAACCAGGTCTAAACCAGGACTAAACTAAGACTAAACTAGGACTAAACCAGAGCTAAACTAGGGCTAAACCAGGACTAAACCAGTACTAAACCAGTACTGAACCAGGACTAAAACAGGTCTGAATCAGGTCTAAAAAAGCTCTAAACCAGGACTGAATCAGGTCTAAATCAGGTCTAAACCAGAACTGAACCAGGTCTAAACCAGGTCTAAACTAGGACTAAACTAGGACTGAATCAGGACTAAACCAGGATTAAACCAGGACTGAACCAGGTCTGAACCAGGTCTAAAATTGTGTTCAATGTTCAATGTAAATATGGCAGATTATAGCAAAAAAACAAAAAAAACAATACCAACATATTTCCATCTGTTGTCCTTTGCGAGGTGACAGAAAACCAAAACTAAAATACAAAACAGTTTCAAAGAGACAAAACACAGAAGAGTAAAAGGCCAAGTGTTCACAGTACTACAAAAATCACAATTCAAAACATGTTTATAAAGATCTAAACTACAGGGTTAGCAGCTTTTACGCAGAATAAAACAGGAAATTGTGTTGTTATTGCACTTTAAATGTCAGCGTTTGCGATTTGCTAATTACATCATTCACATGGCAATTTCTAATCCTCGGTGTGAACATTTCGAGAGCCACTATTCACACAGCTTTACAAACACACTTTTTCATTTTAGCTGCTTCACTCACTAAACGGCCGGACAAAAGACGCAGGTCAAAACCAATATTAATTATTCTCACACTGGTCTTAATTTTCTCCAGTCAATTCAGTAATGAGGGCTTCAGTGCGGAGATGGACAGGCCCCTCGCACAAAGGCTCTGCAGTCAATCAGTTTCACAATGATTTCAAATTATTAGACAAATAAGAACTGGAGAATAGAGTCGAAAAACAGATACTAATCGATACTAAAGCCTAGTATCGAAACTAGATACTCATTTAAGAAGGTATCGTTAATAAAAAAAGCTGTATGAGGGCAAGTGTAAGTACAGTACAGCACCTCACCTACTGAACCAGGTCTAAACCAGGTCTAAACCAGGTCTAAACCAGGACTAAACCAGGACTGAATCAGGGCTAAACCAGGTCTAAACCAAGACTGAATCAGGTCTAAACCAGGTCTAAACCAGGACTGAATCAGGTCTAAACCAGGTCTAAACCAAGACTGAACCAGGTCTAAACCAGGTCTAAACCAAGACTGAACCAGGTCTAAACCAGGTCTAAACCAGGACTGAATCAGGGCTAAACCAGGACTGAATCAGGGCTAAACCAGGACTAAACCAGGACTGAATCAGGGCTAAACCAGGTCTAAACCAAGACTGAACCAGGTCTAAACCAAGACTGAATCAGGTCTAAACCAGGTCTAAACCAGGACTGAATCAGGTCTAAACCAGGTCTAAACCAGGACTGAACCAGGTCTAAACCAGGTCTAAACCAGGTCTAAACCAGGTCTAAACCAGGACTGAATCAGGGATAAACCAGGTCTAAACCAGGTCTAAACCAGGACTGAATCAGGGCTAAACCAGGTCTATACCAAGACTGAACCAGGTCTAAACCAGGTCTAAACCAAGACTGAATCAGGTCTAAACCAGGTCTAAACCAGGTCTAAACCAGGACTGAATCAGGTCTAAACCAGGTCTAAACCAAGACTGAACCAGGTCTAAACCAGGTCTAAACCAAGACTGAATCAGGTTTAAACCAGGTCTAAACCAGGTCTAAACCAGGACTGAACCAGGTCTAAACCAGGTCTTAACTAGGACTGAATCAGGTCTAAACCAAGACTGAATCAGGTTTAAACCAGGTCTAAACCAGGACTGAATCAGGTCTAAACCAGGTCTTAACCAGGACTGAATCAGGTCTAAACCAGGTCTAATCCAGGCCTAAACCAGGTCTAAACAAGGACTAAACTAGGACTGAACCAGTGTCATTAGCATAAATATATACTTGCCGCAACTGTCAAACCAATTGCCAGGGCTACACCAGGACTGGACCAGATCTAAACCAGGACTTAACCAGGACTGAACCAGGACTAAACTAGGACTAAATCAGTGTTATTAGCATGCTGCAACCACCGAACCAGTCACCAGGACTGGACCAGGACTGAGCCAGGACTGAACCAGGACTGGGCCAGGACTGAGCCAGGACTGAACCAGTAGCGCAGCCACTGAGCCGATCACCTCTGCTGATGGGTTTTATGTAATAAATACAAGTTGAATATTACATGATAGTTTTGTTTGACCTTCGTTGTTGTCTTTTCTCCAGGCTCTGATTCTGAGGGAGCTGTCCGTGATCAGAGACCGAGCGGGGAGCGCCTGTCTGAGGGAACTGGACAAGAGCAACAGCCCCCTGACCATGGCCCTGTGTGGATCCAAAGGTAAAAACAAAAACAAAACACAACACTGCACAGTGAGGTAGTCTGGTCTCTGAAGACAAGCAGGGCTGGGTCTGGTTAGACCGTGACGTAACAGTCTATGACAGGGGAGTCAAACTTAATTTGGTCCTGGGGCCGTATCAAACCTATTTTGATCCCAAAGGGGTCGGATCAGAAAACTCATGGCATATAAACCCCAAAAAATAGCAATAAGTTCAAATATTTGTGCAGAGAAATGCAAATCTTTTACAGAAATCTTTTCTGTTCAAAATATTATTATGAACAACATGAAACTTTTAAAAAAAAATGCAATTTCAACACAATGTTTTAACATTAACTTGTGTGCAAATAGGAATAAATCAGTTTTTGTTGTAAAATCCTGCACTCGGCTCCACTTTTCTCATTTTGGACATTTTGTTGATGAGGGTGTGACGGTCAACAGTCAAAACGATCGTCCTTTAAGAGCGTTTGGAAAGAGACAAGTCTTCATTTGTGCTGCTCTGGTGGGAGGGGCCACGTACAGAGACACTGGAGACATTGATATGCTCAGCACCGCAGAAAATTACTAATATTTTAATAGAAAATATAATTAAAATATTTTAGTAGAAAATTAGACGAGGGCCAGATTAAAGGTCTTGAAGGGCCGGATCTGGCCCCTGGGCCTTATGTTTGTGTTTAAAAAAAAACTACTCTACCCTACTCTGGTATCTTAGACCAGGGGTGTCAAACACTGTTAAAAATTATCCAGATATGTTTTGTAACTGTTATTTGTGATTTAAAGTAACTATAGACCAGTTTTGTAAAACTACAAGTCTAATATTTTGAAACATTGGCCAGTAAATCATCTTATCGCACCAATTTATAGACCAAAATTGGTCAGTTCAAAACTGAACTGATATGGTGGAAGCTGATCTGATACACCAACGATATCTGACACATGCATCGTATCACTGCATCTCTATTTGGAACATGACAAACTGTGGAATAGTACAGCCCATAGAATCAGGCATTTGACTTTCCGTCTCCAAAAAGTTACGCACAATCACGTTAAATAAAACTATTCTTTCCAACATGTTAACTGTTCATGAGTATCTATATGCTGTTTCTTTATATCCCTGTTGTAGCCTCGTCTCTCAGCTCCTCTCCACTCCTCTGTGCTGTCCTCACATTCATTGGCTTTAAGTACCTCTTCTCTTTGTGCTTCCTTTGTTTGTCTGCAGGATCCTTCATTAATATCTCGCAGATGATCGCGTGTGTGGGGCAGCAGGCCATAAGTGGGTCCCGAGTACCTGACGGCTTTGAGAACCGCTCTCTCCCTCATTTCGAAAAGCACTCGAAAGTAAGCAGTAGTTTATTTATTTTATTCCTTCAGTGTAATTCCCTTCCACATTAGAAACCAGGCGGATCTGGAGCTGTTCTCGGACACAATAGATGCTCACTGTGTTTGTAAAAAGGTTTTTATGTGTTATAAGAATGAATGATTAGGGAAAAAAATATCTGATTTATCTGTGATTGTGAGTAGATTTGTGATTTATGTTTTAATAATAGGATTTTGCATAAAGGTGCATTGTGGAGAGTCTGTCAAGTGCTTATTTTCTCCTTGGAGATGTTATTGCTTTGTCTGGAATGTTCCACAGTATGGCATTAAACCTTTCTATCTTCATGGAGACCAAACCAGACCAAGATACAGGGGAGATCTGTGGAGAGGCGACCCCGCTCACAGTCAGAATGTTTGTTTGTCTAGGTCTTTTTGAGCTATAAAACCACCTGTAATTGAATAAATATAAGGTAGAATGTAGATGTTTAATGTCATACTGTGGAACATTCCAAGCAGAACAATGACGTATCCATAGAAACAAGCAAGTGACGGACGCCCAACCGAAACGTTACATAGTGCACCTTTAAAGTTCACATTTTAAACTCATCCAGAGGAATTGACAGAAAGACTGAAACTAATACAAGAATCACATTTCAGAACATTAAAAAAATCATACTGCTTGATACTAAAACTAGTATCGAAACTAGATACTCGTTTGAGCAGGTATCGATACTAAAACAGTCCCATTCATAGGGCAGAAATGAACCTTTCCTGAAGCTTTAGAATGATCTGGAGCTGTATCAGAACAAGTATAAGGGCACATAGACTAGTTTATGCCCGTGGACCACTGAGGGATTACACAGATATAACACCACATGGGCCACGTTTACATGATGTTTTTTAACTCTGCATTAATTGTTCTGAATTAAATAGTTTACATGGAAATAATAATTCTGAATTGAAGTTTACATGGAAAACACATTAAATCGCCTTTATTTAATTCTGCTCAGCGTCTGTGGGCTGGAAAGGGTTCTGATTGGACTAATGATGGGCATGATTAATCGATTAATCGATAATTGATCATTAAGAATTTCATTGATTACGTTCATTTTAATCGACAAACCGAATGTAGGTTGCTGTGTGTAGCGTTGAGTGACCAAACAGGTGTGTACATGTGTCTCTGCATCAGAAGGAGCGAGACACAAACAGTCAGTCCACCTGCAATGTACCAAAGCACAAATGTGTATTTAACGATGATTTGTACAAGAAATTCCACACTTTCCGTTGCGTTCGGGACAAGTGTGAGTCCATGTGCACAGTGTATAAAGCAGCACATATGTTTCAGTGTCCAGTGGGAAAAAGTTTTACCAGGTGAGAGTCGCGCAATGTCGATGACGAGTCCCCACCTCCCTCCCCCCGTACGGTGTCCTGGTTTTGACAAACGCAAATCTGGTCACACTAACCTGTATTCACCTGAGTCATGTCTTTTAATCTGACAGAAATTGAACCACATCAGCGACACAAGAGCTGTAGTTTTATCTTCGCTGATTTTATGCAAATTTGCGATGCAGTTTTAAGTTTTGTTTCTGTGAGAGTTGCACAAAACTGAATTAAACACACATTATAATGTCAAACGGGCTGATGTGGCTCTAGAGTCGTTACGGTTTATTTGTCGTAAAGTAGAATTTATTTATGCAGATTAGTAGTGCAGATAGTAATAATAATGATGATTATTTTAATATAAAAACGTTAATGATTAATCGATAATCGATCGTTAATTCTTCCGACGATCGATTAAGAAAATTTCATCGACCGGAAGAAAACACACACTTCAGCTGCTACCGGCTTTTCTGTCATCTCGGTTTGTCGTTACGCCGCGGACACAAACATGATCCAAACTTTTTCCTCAGTCATTCCGATGATAATGAAGCAGCAGCTGGAGAATTCTCTCATGACACTTTACGTCTGTCGGCTGAGGAGGAGAAGAGAAGACTGTCGGAGAAGGGAGGAAGAAGACAAACTGAGGTTACGTTTACACTGAAATGAATCACCGTATTACTGTTTCACCGTATCGGAAGTGATTTGCGTCCCGCTACGTCAGCATATCAACGTTTTCAGGCTTCCACACAGTGCCAGATCAGATGGCGGCACCAGATCGTTCCGTCTCTGGAGCCGTTTTCCATCGGATTAGTGTGAACGAACACTGCCTCCACAACGAAAACGACTCGAATACGAACTAGTGTGGATGGGGCCTGAGTCAGTGGCTGCTCTACCTCAGCCCACTCCTGCATCCTGCTCGCAAGTCCGAAGAGCAGTGGATGAAAGTCCGAAGCCAGGACTGGTGGAGCCGGATCGTACAGATCACGTCAAAAGGGCGACCCAAGGAGCATGCGCTGAACGATGGGATTATTTTTAAGAAGGATAAACGTTTACTACCGTCTGACCTTGCAGCTTTAGGATTTGCTCGATGGTGGGCGGGTACTTTTTAAATTTAACAAATCCCTGTTATTTGGTCGTGACGTATCCAAATCCCGTAGGAAGAAGGACAAAAACGTCTTTCCCCTTGATAAAATTCACCAAACATTCTCTTTGTTCCAGCTTTAAATCCTCGATCTCGGGAATCATCGAAGAAGAATAAATGTTTACATGATCAAGGAACAAATTAATTTGGCTTTAAAATCTCAATCTCAAACTTTGGAATCAAGTTTAAATCCGAATAATCATTTTCATTAGAAAGTAAGTGTTTACATGGTCTTTTTAAAGCAGAATTACTTTTTATTCAGAATTAAATTATTTTTATTCTGATTTAAAGCTCTCATGTAGACGTGGCAATGGTAATATAAAGGAAAGTACCACTATATAGTACTGAAAATCACGTTCTATTTACTAAAGCGTGAGTTTTATTATCATTGACAACGCCACCGCATGTACCACAAATGATTTCCTTTTCCTCCTGATATTTTTGTCCCATCCATATGAGTCACTCCTGGAATTGTCCGTTGGCAGGGAAAAAAATGAGCTGAAGTCTCTCTTGGTGTTTGGCCGTTGCATTGTGGTGTTTGCATGCTTTTCCTGTATAGATTTCCCATGGGGCTATGTACAATAATAGGTCCAATATGGGCTCAGAACTCCTATGTAAAAAGACTCTGTCCCAGCGGTGTGGCAGCAGATTGTCAATTAAACTGTCGAGCTGAAAATTACTGTATTCAGGGCTGCACAGTGTAAGAAAAAGATGTTATAATTAGTGCTGTCATGCGATTAAAAAAATTTAGAGATTAATTAATTATGATCTGTAATTAATTAATCTAATTAATCTCTTTTTAATCTCACCTAAAAAATGCTGAGAAAAGCTTCAAGTTTGAGGTATTTTCATTTAAATTCATTATTACATTATTGTGGCAGATCAAAAGACTGATATAGAACAAAAAAAAAGTGACTTTATAAAGTCATTTATTGTTTAACAAATCTCTCCAAATTGACTGTTGAGCCCAAGTCTCCATGAATAAGAAACTGTTTGCTGTAAAGTAGCAAAGACGAGGAAATCTGAACATAATAACTTTTGTCGACTTAAAGACAATAAAAAGTCCAGTCTTTCCTTAACCATATGAAAAATATTATTGATAGAGAAATGCTTTATATATGAGATCACTGGTTTTAGTCCTGGTTTAGTCCTGGTTTAGTCCTGGTTTAGTCCTGGACTGGGTTAGTCCCAGTTTTAGTCTTGGTGTTAGTTCTGGTTTAGAGGCGCACAGGAGGAAGCGCGGTTTACGCAGTGTACGCGAGAAAACGTACGCGGCTCACGGGAGGACGTCGGTCCGCGCGTTCTCAGGTTATTGAGGATGATGAAGGTGTGTGTGTGTGTGTGTGTGTGTTTGTGTGTGTGTTTGTGTGTGTTTGTGTATAGGACAGTAGTGCAGACATCATGAGTCTATGCAGGTTGTTTTCACCAGTGACATTTAAGTTGTAGGCGATTTTATATTTGTTATTTTCTTTTATATTTCACGTCGGGAGAATAATTTCCAAGACACGAATGTGTTTTTACCTGTGCACTGCTGCTCTGTTCTACTGGCTCTTCCACCTTGTCCATTGTGCGACTGACGCCGTAAACGTTAACATGACGTTTACATCGCTCTTACTGCGCGCGTTTTGTGTGGGTTTCCGGCAATGAGTGGAATTACCGAAATAAAAAAATAATTAATGTGTTTTGTGTGTGTGTGTGTTGTTGTCCCAACAACACACATAAAAAACAGGTTTTTATAATAAAGCAACTCACATACAGAAACACTAAAGTTAGAGATTAAAAATGAGATTAACGCGATTAAAAAACATAACGCGCTAAATATGACTGTAATTAATTAATCGCAATTAACGCGATAATTTGACACCCCTAGTTATAATACTTTCTAATAACTATATTTTAAAGAGCCCATATTATGCTGTTTTCTGATCTGTGTTATAATGTTGTTTCCTCGTCACAAACCGTCCTTGGAGTTGTGTTTTTTTTAATTCACACATGTTAAAAGCACAAATCCTGCATATTTAGATTCTTCTCTCAAACAGAAAACACTCTTGTCCAACTTGTGATGTCATGTGGTGATACAGGAAGTGCTCCACTGTGTTTTTAAACTCCATACACCGTCACTAGAATCATTTGGATTATTTTAGCCTTGGAATTGCCAGTCTCTTCTTAACAAAACGTAAAAGGTAGGTAAAACTTCTGCTTGGTGGAACAGAGCATTTTAAGCTTTGGAGATGTAGACAGACTAATAATAAAGAGTTACTCAAACATGTGTGAATGAAACAAAACAACTCCAGGTCTGTTTTTGTGGAGGGAACAACATTATAACATGACTAAAAGCGCACAAGAGTCAATTTTGGATAATATAGGATCGTTAAATAGCCTTAATAAAGCATGACAAAATACTTTATTCACAATGAACAAATTGTTTATTAAGAATTATTCAGGCTTGCATGTAAAAACGACAAAATATTTCATCAGAAGTGCCTTTCGTTTAGACGGT